GACGGACCCAGCGGGACACACGGAGAGTATGACGGACCCAGCGGGTCACACGGAGGGTATGACGGGCCCAGCGGGTCACACGGAGAGTATGACGGACCCAGCGGGACACACGGAGAGTATGACGGGCCCAGCGGGTCACACGGAGAGTATGACGGACCCAGCACTCAAGCGCCTAACCCTCCGAGTGTAAGCTCCCGTAGGGTAGTGACCCAAAATAGAAACTAAAGACCAATAAATAAACAATAATCTAGAAAACAGGTGCCTAGCAAGAGGGACTGAGCCTCAACACTGCGGCTCTGATGTGTGGGACAGGTCTCAAGAGAGGCTCTAATATGTGGGACAGGTCTCAAGAGAGGCTCTAATATGTGGGGCAGGTCTCAAGAGAGGCTCTAATATGTGGGACAGGTCTCAAGAGAGGCTCTAATATGTGGGACAGGTCTCAAGAGAGGCTCTGATGTGTGGGACAGGTCTCAAGAGAGGCTCTGATGTGTGGGACAGGTCTCAAGAGAGGCTCTGATGTGTGGGACAGGTCTCAAGAGAGGCTCTGATGTGTGGAACAGGTCTCAAGAGAGGCTCTGATGTGTGGGACAGGTCTCAAGAGAGGCTCTGATGTGTGGGACAGGTCTCAAGAGAGGCTCTGATGTGTGGGACAGGTCTCAAGAGAGGCTCTGATGTGTGGGACAGGTCTCAAGAGAGGCTCTGATGTGTGGAACAGGTCTCAAGAGAGGCTCTGATGTGTGGGACAGGTCTCAAGAGAGGCTCTGATGTGTGGAACAGGTCTCAAGAGAGGCTCCTCTTTATCTCACAAATCGGTGATACACACACAATAAAAATTAGCTATAAATAGGTGAAAATGTATGTATATATAATATAATTGGGTGCGTACTCCGCCCTATAAGGGTCATTAATAACCAGACTCGTAGGGTAAATTAAGTCAAAGTGACATCTTTGAGTGTAGACAGTGTTATTGTAGTAATGGATACCATTATAGAGCACCAAGGACACTACCAGCGCTGGAGACGAACCATAAATATATAATGGTTCGTCTAATATAATGGTTCATTAATATATAATGTAGACCCGAGTTATATCCAGCACATCTGCGCCTGCGCGGTACACAAGTAATTGTCTACTCATCCGGGGACATTTATTGACCAGTAAAGTTAGAGAATATAGAAAATGGGAGGTCTGTTAACTGTTGGTAGTTTGTTTGTAGGAACTGACGGATGCAGCGGGTGACACGGAGATTGTGACGGATGCAGCGGGTGACACGGAGATTGTGACGGATGCAGCGGGTGACACGGAGATTGTGACGGATGCAGTGGGTGACACGGAGATTGTGACGGATGCAGTGGATGACACGGAGATTGTGACGGATGCAGTGGGTGACACAGAGATTGTGACGGATGCAGTGGGTGACACGGAGATTGTGATAGATGCAGTGGGTGACACGGAGATTGTGACGGATGCAGTGGGTGACAGGGAGATTATGACGGATGCAGTGGGTGACACGGACATTATGACGGTTGCAGTGGGTGACACGGAGATTGTGACGGGTGACACGGAGAGTATGACGGATGCAGCGGATGACACGGAGAGTATGACGGATGCAGCGGGTGACACGGAGAGTATGACGGATGCAGCGGATGACACGGAGAGTATGACGGATGCAGCGGATGACACGGAGAGTATGACGGATGCAGCGGATGACACGGAGAGTATGACGGATGCAGTGGGTGACACGGAGAGTATGACGGATGCAGTGGGTGACACGGAGAGTATGACGGATGCAGCGGGTGACACGGAGAGTATGACGGATGCAGCGGATGACATGGAAGGACCCAGCTTAGACTAACTCAAGCAAGCACGGGACCCCTGAGAGGTTTGTGACGAATAAAGCAAGCAAGCAAGCAAGTAAGACAAGTCAAACATTCCGAAGTAAGGTGTCTGTGAAAGCTGAGAAGAGCTCAACTTGTTTCTTTAAGAAAGACAGCAACATAAGACTGTTGTTGTTGGCGATTGAGGAGACGAGGACGATCAACTCGAGGTATAGATTGACTAAGATGCCGAATCAAAACAATGAAAACAAATCTTCAAGAATTTCATACGTGAATTAAAGTGCATTTCTGGGTCAAGAAAAAAAAGTTGAAAAAAATAAATAAAGGATTTTTTTATATATAAAATCAAAGATCTTATTAAACTGATTTCTTACATGTAAATGATGTAACTTGATCAAATTACCCAAACAAAGGGATTAACACGAGCCTAATAAATCAATTGAGTGTGTCAGTAAAAGCGAACGATATATTTCTTATATTTTATTAAACAATTGGTCATTTAAGTTACAGTGGTTTGAAGGAAAAAGTGTTTGAGCCCAAGCTTGGTGTGACAAGTGCTCGGGGGTAGAGGGGAAACTACTCCAGAAAACAGAAGGTAATTACTAAAGAAAACGTGAAGCGGAAGAGCTACACCTGGCAAGGTCTTGTGTCTATTCTGCTTCTCCTCCTCCACTTGTCTACTCTCCTCCTCCTTCACCTGTCTACTCTCCTTTTGTCTACTACCCTCGTCCTCCACCTGTCTACTCTCCTCCTGTCCTCGTCCTCCACCTGTCTACTCTCCCCCTGTCTACTACCCTCGTCCTCCACCTGTCTACTCTCCCCCTGTCTACTACCCTCGTCCTCCACCTGTCTACTCTCCCCCTGTCTACTACCCTCGTCCTCCACCTGTCTACTCTCCTCCTGCCCTCGTCCTCCACCTGTCAACTCTCCCCCTGTCCTCGTCCTCCACCTGTCTACTCTCCCCCTGTCTACTACCCTCGTCCTCCACCTGTCTACTCTCCCCCTGTCTACTACCCTCGTCCTCCACCTGTCTATTCCCTTTATTTGCTTACTTGCCCACTTAACAATCTACTCCGTATGTATTCTATTCTTATTTTATGCTATTTTTTATTTACCTCTTTACTGCCCTTTATTCTTTTCTTTATTTAATTGTCTCGTTACCTCGTGGCTTCTGTTGTATAATTCTTCACATTATTATTATCTGTTCCGTTCATTTATTTCCTGTTTACACATATTTACTCTTAATCTATATTATTGTGAGGGATTGGTAGCCTCGCGCCTCTCCTCATTCTTTATCAGGGTTGCAGGTTTTTCTCATTCTTTATCAGGGTTGCAGGGGTTTTCTCATTCTTTATCAGGGTTGCAGGGGTTTTCTCATTCTTTATCAGGGTTGCAGGGGTTTTCTCATTCTTTATCAGAGTTGCAGGTTTTTTTCTCATTCTTTATCAGGGTTGCAGGGGTTTTCTCATTCTTTATCAGAGTTGCAGGTTTTTTTCTCATTCTTTATCAGGGTTGCAGGGGTTTTCTCATTCTTTATCAGGGTTGCAGGGGTTTTCTCATTCTTTATCAGGGTTGCAGGGGTTTTCTCATTCTTTATCAGGGTTGCAGGGGTTTTCTCATTCTTTATCAGAGTTGCAGGGGTTTTCTCATTCTTTATCAGGGTTGCAGGGATTTTCTCATTCTTTATCAGGGTTGCAGGGATTTTCTCATTCTTTATCAGGGTTGCAGGGGTTGTCTCATTCTTTATCTGGGTTGCAGGGATTTTCTCATTCTTTATCAGGGTTGCAGAGGTTGTCTCATTCATTATATATTATCGTTACTCAGGCACCTGTATCTCTTGCCTCTGGGGCCCATCTTCTTAGTGGGTTTCTCTCCCGTCTTCCTCTTTATTGACTTCATTTATTCACTTGTTATTTGGTAATTGTGACAGGTTGTGGGACCTCACCTGACGCATAACAACCTCGTTAATTTGTTATAACTATCCATTGCTCTCAAATTGCGTCCACTTCCCCCGCTGCTTTGTGTTCACCTGGCTTCGTTTCCGCCCGGGGTTCGAACCCTTTGCCAATAATAACACAAGGAGCTATATACCTTGACTACCCCCCCTCCCCCCCCAGAGTTGGATTAAAGACTGTTTTTTTTATTTGATTTCCTGCATTTCGGAGTGATAGAGAATTTTTTTTTGGGGGGGTTGGTTGGTGGTGTTGGTGGAGTGTTGGTGGGGGTGTGTTGGTGGGGGTGTGTTGCCGGGGAGGAGGTATATAGGCTTGTGATCCTTGGTTGACCTACAATTGAAGTATCGGGCAAGTTGCTTGTACCCCCCCCTCTCTCCTCCTTCCCCTCCTCCTCCAACCGAACTGTTGACTGATCCTTCCGCCCCCCCCCCTTCCTCCCCTCCCACTCCCCCAAACACCTTCCCCTCAGCTTTACCTCAATATTCTCCCACTAACACCTTCCCCCGCCCCCCCCCCCCCACCTGCACCCGCCTTCTCTGTACACATACGTATACACACACACACACACACACACACACACACACACACACACACACACACACACACACCAAAGAGCCAGAGCTCAACCCCCGCAAGCACAATTAGGTGAGTACACACACGCACCAGTTGATCAATATACCAATCGATTGACAGTTGAGAGGCGGGATCAAAGAACCAGAGCTCAACTCCCCCCAAGCACAACTAGGTGAGTACACACACGCACAGATACGTTCCCACACACGCGCGTGCGCCCTCATTTCTGCCATCCCAGCAGTGTTGTCTCACGGTATTAGTAGCTGTGTCCTCTTTCACCTGCCCCCCCCCCCTCCTCCCTCCCCCTCCCCCCTCACCCCTCACCCCCTCCCCCATCACCCCCCCCCCCTCACCCTGACTCCCCGTGCCTCATTCTCCTCATACCTCTCTAGTTTCCTCGTGTGTATTTTTGATTTGTTTAACTAGCCGCTAATTTTGCTGCGTTTCACCTCCTTGAAACTTTAAGGCATCTAGCGGGGGCGTTTAGCGCCGGCCACACCCACTTGCTGCACCCCTCCCCCTGCACCACCCCTGCACCTCCTCCTTGACCGCCCTCTTGTGGTGTGTGTGTGTAGCCAGCTGCAGCAGTAGCCAGTGGTGGGGGGAGTAGCCACTGGTCGGGGGGGGGTAGTAGCCAGTGGTGGGGGCCATGTACCGACTCAGTTCCCTGCGCCGCCACTTGGACAGCAAGACCAACCAGTACCCTCGTAGAGACCGTGACAAGCCCATGGGGCAGGAACTGAGTGCGGCGCGAGGTCCGCGTCCCCCGCCGCAGGAGGCCGAGGGCGGCGGGGCCGGGCCTCGTCTCGAGGACGAGGACGAGCTCCTCTCCCGATATTCATCGAGGAACAGGATACTCCCTACCCGCCAAGACCGAGATGACGCCGCTTGTTCAGGTGAGCTACAACCCTATGGATGTCAACACTGGTTGATTGATTGATTAAGGCACCCCAGGAGGTGGCACGGGCATGAATAGCCCGCTGGTGATAGATGTTTGGAGTGAATGTGGTGTTTGGTGGTGTAACATCTTAAAGTGTTTGGAGCTGGGGGTCAACACACTGGTGTATCCGGCTATATAGAGAGGTGCACAGGGTCGTTGCTGGATATAGGCTTTAGCTGAGGCGGTCACTTTACGAGAGTGGTGTGGGCCATAGGGAAGATAGTCTGGGCACCGCCACTTCAGAGGGAGTGTGTCGTAACTATCACTACCACCTGTGGTAGGCCTGGTCGAGAACCGGGCCGCGGGGATACTAAAAGCCCCGAAATCATCTCAAGATAACCTCAAGATAACCAACTCTACAAACAAGTTGAGAGAGTGAGTTCAGAGAGGCAGAAGTAGAGGTGGATGTGTAGGCTGTGACAGATGCAGGGGTAGAGGTGTGTGTGTGTGTGTGTGTGTGTGTGTGTGTGTGTGTGTGTGTGTGTGTGTGTGTGTGTGTGTGTGTGTGTGTGTGTGTGTGTGTGTGTGATAGGGTTGTAAGGTGCCGAAATATAGTAGAGCAGAGAGGGCAGTAAGGTCTGATGGAGAGGTCTGCAAGGTCTATAAGGAAGGTCTGCAGGAAGGAGCAGGGATGTAAACAGAGGGAAGACATACGTGGAAGTATAGAGGGACACTATAGATGCACGTCAGGTGGGATAGAGAAAACTGTAGGATGTGGTCCAGTCAAACAGAAAACTATGTCACAAATCTTTATTATAATGATACAAATTTCTGTAACACGACTGTAAACTGGGGGCGCACGCTGCTGTACACTACGGAGCGAGCGGCTGTTGAATGGAGAATAGAATTATAGGATTGGGGCAGCTATTATTGTTAACATCTGTATTGACAACAATGAATTACAATTTTGCCTAATCTGAGGATTTCAATTAAGTCTTATGAAAGTGAGGATAATGCTGGTATTCACTGTCACACAGGACAGAGGGTCATACACAAGACAATAGGTCTAAACTGTAGGCTGAAGCACACATATATATCATGGTTACAATCAATGTTTTAATGTACGAATATGTAAATCCAACTTTCTATTGTGCACTGCCACACAAGGACAGGGATGGGTTCATAAGTGATGCAGCTTAAAAATAATATAAATAAAATTGTTCTTCATTCTTTAAAATGGACAAGCATATTTTAGATAAATTGTTAGGATGTCATTCAGTACACCAGATTCAATGAAATGGTTACACAGTTGGTGGTACAATAAGAGAAAAGAAGGGAGTACCACCTCTGGCTGGAAGAAGGGGGACCCATAGCCTCGGAGGAAACCACACATAACGCATTGGAGGGAATGTAGGTCCCCTCCAATACAGTTTCTGTGTGCTTTTCTCCTACCACCCCCTTCCTTTTTTTTTTTTTTTTTTTTTTTTTTTTTGCTTTATTGTGTATTTAAAGGTTACAAAACATACAAGACAAATGCCTAAAGGTTATGGATCTCTTGAAGCTCCTCCGCTTCTGGACAGGAACCGAGGACGCAGCAAGCATTTCCCCTCTGGATCGCCACACTGAGGCGCTGAAACAAAAAACTGGAAGCCCTTGGGTCTCTGGTGACGGCAATGAGCTTGGAACCCAATTCCTTGAGAAATCCCAAGGCACTCTTGCCCCCAGGGGCCATGCGTCTCAGACGCTATGGGAACAAAGAGGTATTGACCTTCCAGTCATCTGTACTTGAGTAAGTTTGCTGTTTCCCTGTGGTTGGCCGCCCCACCTGCTTGATCAGCTCCGAAGTGTACATAGGTGTCAGCCAGGGTGGATACACATGTGTAGTCCCACACCAACTGTCTACCCTCCTTCCATGAGTATATGGTGATGCCATCAGGGCGAAGTGCGGGGAAATCCGGGTTTTGGACCCCTAGGATGCGAGGTTCTCTTTCCGCTGGGCACCCAGCTGAGACGAGGCTTCTCTTGATGATGTCATTGACCTCGTTGTGTCTTGCATGCCAGCCCTTTGTGCTTCCGCAATGCAACCCATGCAGTCCGTATTGGTCTGCTTCCACCCTGTTGCAAATACACTTGTATTCAGTGTGAATTGGGGCACCAAGGTGGAGGGCCACTGCTACACGAAGGGATTCTGGATCTAGACGCGTGCCATTTGTTGACATGGGTACTGCCAGGAGGAAGTCTCCTGCATGGGGGGCAGGCACTGCTCTGAGGCGGGCTTTCTCCTTGTCTGATGTTGCGGCGCTGAGCATGGCATCAGCTACTTTTTCCACTAGAGGGTGGTCCCAGCCGGATTGTTTGTGTTGTTTTGTTGGCTCTATAATGGTTGCTGGGGCTGCATGAGCATTCAGTGAAAGTAGGATCGTGTATTCCTGCTGAATCTCTCAGGGTTGCAGGTAAGATATCTCTGACGAAGTCGTGCGATGCGTGGGAGGAGGAAAGGAAGGCTGGTTGAGCAATTTGGGAGGCTGTGCGAAAAGGTACAAAGGTCTTTTGGTCTTTTGGTCTTTCTTCCTCAAAGAAAGGTCTTTTGATCCCAGTCCAAAAGGAGAAAAGCGAAAAGCAACAGAAGAATCCATGGTTCAATCAGGAATGTAAGGTAGCGAAGCAATTGAGTAAACGAACATGGAGAAACTACAGGAATATCAGAACACCGGAGAGCAGGGAGAGATACCAGAGGGCAAGGAATGAGTACATCAGAGTGAGGAGGGAAGCAGAGAGACTGTTTGAAAATGACATCGCGAGTAAAGCCAAGACTCAACCAAAGCTGCTCCACAGCCACATCAGGAGGAAAACAGCAGTGAAGGAACAAGTGATGAAACTGAGAAAAGGGGAGAATAGATACACAGAGAATGACAAGGAGGTGTGTGAAGAACTCAACAAGAGGTTCAAGGAGGTCTTCACAATAGTTCAAGGAGAAGCCCCTGCGCTAAATGAGGAGGAGGCAAACCAAGCAACCTTGGAGGATTTTGACCTCACCAGTGATGAGGTCAAAAGGAATCTGATGGCGCTGAATGTGACAAAAGCTGTTGAGCCTGACGGAATCTCACTGTGGATACGAAAGAAAGGTGCAGAAGCACTAAGTGTGCCACTCTCTATGGTGTATAACAGGTCACTGGAAACAGGAGACCTTCCAGAAAGCTGGAAAACAGCTAATGTAGTCCTAATGTACAAAAAGGGTGACAGGCAAGAGGCACTGAACTACTGGTCAGTTTCCCTAACTTGTATACCATGCAAGGTGATGGAGAAGATCGTGAGGAAAAGGCTCGTAGAGCATCTGGAGGGAAAGAGCTTTGTAACACCACCAACATGGGTTCAGAGATTATAAATGGGTTCAGAGATGGTAAATCGTGCCTCATAGGGTTAATAGAATTCTATGACCACGCAACAAAAATTAGGCAGGAAAGAGAAGGGTGGGCAAACTGCATTTTCTTGGACTGTCAGTAAGCTTTTGACACAGTACCCTATAAAAGGATGTTACGAAGGTTAGAGCAACAACCAGGAGTAAAAGGGAAGGTGCTCCAGTGGATAATGGAGTATCTAAGCAACAGGAAGCAGCGAGTAACTGTGAGGGTGGAGGCATCAGAGTGGCGAGATGTCACCAGCGGAGTCCCACAGGGCTCTGTACTTGAACCCATCCTGTTTCTAATAAATGTAAACGATCTTCCAGAGGGTATAGACTCATTCCTCTCAATGTTTGCTAATGATACAAAAATTATGAGAAGAATCAAGACAGATGATGATAGACAGAGACTACAGGACGACCTGGACAAACTGGAGGAATGGTCTAGAACATGTCTGCTAAAGTTCAACTCAGGAAAGTGTAAGGTGATGAAATTAGGCGAAGGGAGCAGGAGGCTGAACACAAGGTACCATCTGGGAGGTGAAACCCTGCAAGAGTCAAATAGAGAGAAAGATCTGGGGGTTGATATCACACCGAACCCGTCCCCAGAGGCCTAAATCAAAAGGATATCATCAGCGACATATGCTAGACTGGCCAATATAAGAAATGCCTTTCAAACTTGTGTAAGGAATCGTTCAGGACCCTGTATACCACTTATGTCAGACCAATCCTGGAATATGCAGCTCCAGCTTGGAGTCCATACCTAGTTAAACACAACACAAAGTTAGAGAAGATCTAGCGGTATGCCACCAGACTTGTCCCGGAACTGAGAGGTATTAGCTACGAGGAAAGGCTAAAGGAGCTGAACCTCACATCCATAGAAGACAGAAGAGTAAGGGAGACATGATAACCACCTACAAAATTCTCAGGGGAATTGATAGGGTGGACAAAGACAAACTCTTTAGCATGGGCGGAACACGAACAAGGGGACACAGGTGGAAGCTGAGTACCCAAATGAGCCACAGAGACATCAGAAACAACTTTTTCAGTGTCAGAGTAGTTAGTAAATGGAATGCATTAGGCAGTGATGTGGTGGAGGCTGACTCCATACACAGTTTCAAATGTTGATATGATAAGAGTCCAGTAGGCTCAGGAATCTGTACACCAGTTGATTGACAGTTTAGAGGCAGGACCAAAGAGCCAAAGCTCAACCCCCGCAAGCACAACTAGGTGAGTACAACTAGGTGAGTAATAGGCCAGCAGGTCAAAAATCTTGTACGGTTTCACATTCAACAATATAGTGTTCTAGTAAATGCATTAAAGGTTTGTCACAGAGTTTACAATCTGAATATTCTGGTAGTGGTTCAGCCTCACTAACCTGCCAGATGTGTCTATAACCAAGGCGAATTACCGCAATCATCACATCACATTGCCTGGTCCGGTTACTGTGCTGACCATACAAATAACTGTTATTACAAAAGTTATCATAGCTTTTAATGCTGCAGCTTTCAGGTCTCTGGCCATTTCTTAGTCCTTCTAAATTTGAAGTAATTTCTTTAATTTATACGTTTCTAATAATTACATTATATAGTCCAAAGTCATAACCAGGATATAGG